GCTCATATTCATTTATAAACGATAACACCAATGTTTTAACACAGGAAGAGTTCAGAAATCAACATTTGGTGTAATAACCTTGAGGTTTTCAATGGGGGTCACTACAGTGGTCTCTTGCTTTTTTTCCAGAGCTGCATTTCATTTTCCTTTCCACTTCATGATTACAAAGTGCTCTGTTTGGGTCTGTCACTAAAAAATTCTTGCTGTGATCTGTACCATTGTCACGTTACAGGAAGAAACCTTTTCTGTTTTACTTCAACATCCTGAAATGTGCCAGCCCCCTGGTGCTCCTGGAGTTCCAGTGTCCCACCCCGCAGGTCAGGAAGTGTGGCTACATCTGGTTGCTGTGGCGTCTTTACAGAACCGATCAGTGGTTCATGCCCGCCTGCTGTTTTCTGTTCCCAGATATGTGTGGAAAAGTGTCCTGACAGGCACTTGAATTTGGTGAAGGCCAAGCTCGGCAGCAACGAAGACCGTGAATACTACTCAAGATTCTGCAAGGAGGGAACTAACTTCACCGCACTGGTACATTTTGAAATAATGAGGTTATTCACATTAAAATGGGTCAGACGTATAGAGTTATGCATTCGGTATGAGGGGATCTTTGACTAAAGCTCTCGTTGCATGACTCAGAGTCCTCCTGAGATCCTGAGGGATGCCCTGTGTCCTGCCATGCTGCTGCCCAGCAAAGCTTGTAAGTGACAAGCTTTCACTTCTTATGATGGCGTCTCTGTTAATTAGTTTCTGCTGCCAAGAGTTTCAAAAAGTGATTATGGGCCTGTCTCCACAGTCACACGGCGCTGCCTGCCTGCCCTGGGAAAGCTGAGTGGCGGGGTGGTGGTTGTAGGCAACGAAACCTCATTTTTAGACGACGAGAACAACAGAGTCAACGCCACAGACCTGCTGGAGGCATCAAAGTGAGTCCGTAATGTATGGAGACACAACATACTGTTATGTTACTTAGTTTTAACATTTATATCAGTATAGCGGTTTATGAAGTGTGCATAGCTATTAGGTGCTGTAGCGATTAATCGAATGATTCGAGTACCTCGGTTATTAAAAGTCGTCGAGGAAAATTTAAAGCTTCATGAAATTACGTTTTATTATTTGGCGTACCGCGTTGCGGTCGGATCGTTATTTGTGTTGGGCCCTAATAGTTAAAGTTTGTCTCGGGAAAACATTTTATTCACTCCATCCAACCACGCCAACCTTTGAGAAGCATTTTATGTTCACCAGCCTACTGTGACTAATAGATCACTTTTCTACCGAAAACAGACAGCTTCATTTGTTTCATTACTAAATTGTGTTCTTTGACTATTGTTTTAGCAGGTAAAGATTTTTTTTTTTAAATAAATAGTTTTGCAATTTTAATTAATGGAAAAAATTGGACAGTTGGACATTTTTGGCAGCTGTAGCAAAATGTTCAGACAGAAATCAAACCCTTCTTATAATCGCTAAACAGTTTTTTCCATCATTGTTGTTTTGTTCAGACATTGAACTGAGATATATTGCTCTTAAGAGATATAAAATGAAAAATATTAAACTAAGCACACGCTGCTTTTAATATAATTTGTTTGCTTGATAAAGGAGTTTATTGTAATAGCTTCATTAATTTTCTTGCTGAGTTGAATGACTCCATCTAGACTATTTACTGTTTAATCAGTGGAGTATAATGATCCATTCATCTGATGTTTTCTCTTGAAAGGAAGTCGAACGTTGTTGTGGAAGCTCGTCAGGTGGCCATGAGAATCTTTGAAGACTACACTCAGTCCTGGCACTGGATACTACTGTGAGTTTACTTACCTGTACTGGTCAAATAAAAGGTTAAGTGTTGTATGTTAAAGCTCTGAAGAAGCTTTCAATTTTCTCAAGTGATTCAGTTCACACTGAACCGAGACGTTCAGATTGCTTTAGTTCAGATTCACTGATGTGGTTTCTGAGAGGCATCGACCATTTACACTGACGCCTGATTGGTTGATGGTATTCCAGTTAATAACGTAACTCGTCCATCTGTTCTCGCTCTGCAGCGGTCTGGTGATCGCCATGGTCGTCAGCTTGATTTTCGTCGTCCTGCTGCGATTCTTGGCCGCCTTCATGGTCTGGGTCATAATCATTTTGGTCATTCTTGTCATCGGATACGGTAAATCCTGCTAGCTCCAAATGCTAAAATTAAAGGTCGTCTTTAAAGCCAATTGATGTTACTGACAAGCTTGGTTGTTTTTAGGGATTTTCCACTGCTACATGGAGTACGCCGCCCTGAAGGGAGAACCGGGCGCAGACGTCACCATCCGTGACCTGGGCCTGCAGACGGACTTCTCCGTCTACCTGCAGATCCGGCAGACGTGGCTGGCCTTCAGTAAGACATTTTCACCCTGATTTATCCCTTTCAATTAACCGGCCATTCTTAATTTTAATTTTCTTCGCAGTGATCATCCTGGCGATTGTCGAGTTCATCGTCATCCTGCTGCTCATCTTCCTCAGGAAAAGAATCCTGATCGCCATCGCTCTCATCAAAGAGGCCAGCAGGTCCGTACATGTCGGATGTGGCACATTTTCATCCGGATGTGTCGCG